CCCAGAGGGAGAACAATGAGGCTTTCTACTCCCATAGAGTTACAGTCTGAGAAACCAACATGGGCAGTTTTACCCTTATTCTTCACTCAGGACTTGAACCTACGTGGCCTGTGTTCTTCTGACCAGAGGACAGTGTGATGCAGGGGTTAAGGGGACTGACCTTGGGCTGGGCTGCTTGGCTGCCATTGCCCAGTTGTAGGCCTTTGGGTAAGTCGGCTACCTTCCCTGGGACTCAATTCCCTCTAAGAAGTAGTCCCTACTCCAGCAGCCCTGGTGGCTTAATTACCAGTTGGATTGCTGATCACTAGGTCAGCAGTTTGAAACCAGCAATTGCACCAAGGAAGAAAGATGGAGCTTTCTACTCCTGTAAAGAGTTACTGTCCCAGAAACTCACAGGGGCAGTTCTACCCTGTTCCGTGGGGTCCCTATGTAGTAGAATTCAATAGCATTGAATTTGAGAAAGATGCCTCTAAGTAGACAAAGGGTGTGGCTTGCTTCACGCTCTCTAAGTTCATAGCCACATGTATGGCATCATAGCCACATGTATGTAGCTCAAAATTTTAATACATCCCATAAGGAACTATGACTAGAAGGGCCATATTAACTGATCATAGCTCACCAGCTGCCTGGTGAGAAAAAGATAAGGCCGTCTGCTCTCATGGAGACTTACAGCCTCAGGATCCCTACAAGGCAGTTCTACCCTGTTCTATAGGGTCACTGTGAGTTAGAACGGACCCGATGGCAATGGGTTTTGGTTCTTTATGTACCAAGAACTGTACATGAGAATGGAAGCAGAGAACACTTGTGTTCAGGATATGCTGAAGGACTAGATGAGATCAGTTCGTGGATCTGTGGTTTCCGAGTGTGATGAATAGTACCAGGATGCTTGGGAACACCTAACAGGGAAACACGCGCTCATTTCAGAGCTGCTTCCTTGAGAAAGCGAATCCCGAAACCAAACCTAGTGCCATCAAGTTAATCCCAACTCGTGGTGACCCTGCAGGACGGAGCGGAGCTGTCTCATGGCCCCCAAGGCTGTCTATCCTCATGGAAGCAGACTGCTGCATATCTCTCTGAGAGCGAATGATCCAGTGAGCAAAGAGCCTAGAGCGTCCAGCACAGGTGCCTGGCAAGAGACTGAGCTCCCAAGGCAGGTTCCTGTTGAGAGCCAGTGCTCACTGTAAACTCGTTGACTGGATGAATGAATATTGAAGGCAAGACCTGAAGAATGGAAACCCGTTCCAGAAAAAGAAAACAAATCAACGTGCAAAGCATGGAGGCAGGACAGGGCAGAGAGGAAGGTGGCTGGAGAGGTCAGAAAGTCAGAGGCCATTATAAAGAGTTTGGGTTTTCCCTGCATGTAAAGGGGAGGCTTTAGAAAGGAGAGTGTCCAAGTACTCCCTCAATGCAAGAACACTTTGTTCTATTAAACTGGCATTCCATGATGCTCACCTTCCCGACTTGAGGGCTGAAGACAAATGGGTGCATAAGCAAATGTGGTGAAGAAAGCTGAAGGTGCCCGGCTATTGAAAGGTATAGCATCTGGGGTCTTAAAGGCTTGAAGATAAACAAGTGGCCAACTAGCTGAGAAGCAACAAAGCCCACATGGAAGAAGCACACCAGCCTGTGTGATCACAAAGTGTTGATGGGATCAGGTATCAGGCATCAAAGAACAAAAAAATCATATCATTGTGAATGAGGGGCAGTGCGGAGTGGCGACCCAAAGCCCATCTGTGGGCAACTGGGCATCCCCTTACAGAAGGGTCTCAGAGAGGAGATGAGCCAGTCAAGGTGCAGTATAGCAATGATGAAACATAAAACTAGTTTCCTCTAGTTCTTTAATGCTTCCTCTCCTCTACTATCATGATCTCAATTCTACCTTACAAATCTTGCTACACCAGAGGATGTACAGTGGTACAGATAAAAATTGGAAACACAGGGAATCCAGGACAGATGATCCCTTTAGGACCAGTGGTGAGAGTGGTGATACCGGGAGGGTGGTGGGAAGGTGGGGTAGAAAGGGGAAACTGATCACAAGGATCTACATATAACCCCCTCCCTGGGGGACAGACAACAGAAAAGTGGTGAAGGGAGATACGTCGGCCAGTGTAAGACATGACAAAATAATAATAATTTATAAATTATCAAGGGTTCGTGAAGGAGGTGGGGCGGGGAGGGAGGGGGAAAATGAGGAGCTAATATCAAGAGCTCAAGTGGAAAGAGAATGTTTTGAGAATAATGATGGCAACAAATAATGCACAAGTGTGCTTGACACAATGGATGGATGGATGGATTGTGATAAAAGTTGTACGAGCCCCCAGTAAAATGATTTTTAAAAAAAGAAATAAAGGAGAGTTTCAAAGTGAATTTCATCTTGAAAATTTCACTCCAGCTGCGGTGTGGAGACTAGTTTGGGGGCGGCAGGAATGGAAATAGGGAGAGGCTGTGGAGGCTGTTGTATTGGCCAACCAGGAAATGACATTGACCGGACCACAGCTTGTGAACAAGCCCTCCATGTGATTGTGTCAGGGAGGCAGGATTGACCTGACGTGGCTGATGTGAGGCACGAAAGAGGAGGATCCAGAATACGATCCCAGGAAGAGGCAGAGGCTCTTGTGAGGGAGCGCATGTTCCTTGCTTTCGGCTCCGGCTCCTTGTCTGTAAAATGGGCCTTGTGGGCTCATTGTGAGGACTGAAAGAAGTGGCACCTGTGCTACGTGCTGGGCTGCTAACTGCACCGGCAGCAGCTGGAAACCGCCAGCCGATCTGCAGTAGAAAAAGGAGACTCTCTACTCCCATAAGGATGGACAGTCTCGGAACCCCCCAGGGACAGTTCTTCTCTGTCCTATAGGGTCCCCATGCGTCGGCATTGACTCGATGGCAGGGCATTTTTGAGTTGAACATGAAGCACGCAGAACAGCGCCTGCAGCGTTGCTGCCATCAGCATTATTTTCGATTTGTAATGCTGGCAACTGTAGAAATGGTCTGCTTGTATACTCATCAAATGTTAACTGATCTGATGCATTAAAAACTAATAATGTCTGCCCTCCACTCAATCATCTCTGGTTCTGTAAATCTCCCTTCAGAGGGTTATGCTTCTAGAACCCTAGCTATGCAGGCCCCTTCCGATTCCAGAACAGGCTGGGCTCCAGAAAGCAGTTTCCCCACAAACGAGATAGGGGTACAAGGCCAGAGACCATTCTGTGGAGGGCAGAGTTATTATTATTTTTGAAACGGGAAAAGTCAGTTAACCCTTGATACATACAAGGGCAAAGCATTGCTACAGTTATTAACACGGTAAAGCAGTGGTGATGATGATGATGATGATGATGATGATGATGATGATGATGATGATGATGATGATGATAGCCATGTTTCAAGCATTGTTCTATCTCTCATTTGGGAGGAAAACATCCAAACTCTCAGAACCTAGGTTTCCGCATCTGCAAAATGGGGCAAGAATCTCTGTTTTGAAGAGTCAAAAAGTTTGTACCCTCCAGCACTACTAGGAAGGATCAGGTGGGGAGGCGGCCCTATCCAGAGGGAGGCTGGGGAGGTGAGACACCCTCCAGCCCCACCTTGCCCCGCTTCCAAATCTCTAGGGCCAGGGCGGCCCGACATCTGCCCTCCGTACCACCAGGGGGCAATGTCGGCGGTTGCGTTCCCCTCCCTTCCACGGAGGTGGCGCTCTGTCCTGCCGGAACCTTTTCCCTCCACGTGGGGACGCACGATGGCGGCGGCGGCGGTGGTGGGTGTGCGTGGCTGGGGGCGGGGGTCCAGCCGCTGAGAGCTGGGGTTCGGGGTCTCGGAGGAGAGAGGGCGGCGGGGGGCCTCCCCTGCGCTCCTGGCGGCGTGCTGACCCTCGCCCCCCGTGTCTACAGGACGCGGCGGCGGCGCACGACGTGCAGCGGCTGCTGGTACAGTTCCAGGATGAGGGCGGGCAGCTGCTGGGCGCCCCGTTCGACGTGCCGGTGGACATCACCCCGGACAAGCTGCAGCTCGTGTGCAACGCGCTGCTGGCCCAGGTGAGTGGCGGGTGAGGCTGGGGCCGCATCTCCTCCTCCACGCCCGGATCGGGCCGCCCCCAGAGCAAAGGTTCCCGGGACCGGAGGGCTGGCGTTCCAGGCCCCCCCGGGCCACGACTCCCCAGGGTGCGCCCTGGGAGGTGCTTCCCACCCAGTCGGAAGGTGTAATCGATGAAAGCGCTTTACACACTTAAGTAAAAGTCGACGTACATCGAGTGCATTATCAGCATTATCACTGAATCCTCTCGCCATCGTTCCTGGGCCACATTCATTTATCCGGTTACAGCGTGGCCTGGAAGGGTAAAACCACTTCCAAGATGTTACACAGGACAGGGAAGGTCCCGGGTGGTGTGTGTGTGTGTGTGTGTGTGAATGATTTGTACTAACTGCTAACCCTAAAGGTTGGCGGTTTGAACCCACCCACCCAGTGGCAAGTTTGAAGAAAAGCTTGGTCAATTTAGTGCTTCTGAAAAGATGACAGCCAGCCAGACGGACTTGACATGGGCCTGGCAGCCCCTGCGCAGGCTCAGTAGGTGGTGGATCTAGCATTAGAATCCAAATCTGTGGGACTCAAAGCCCACCCTCTGAACCAGCATTTCTCATCTCCGCATGCTGCCCTTAGATCCTTTAAGCAGGCTAGTGGACCTGTTTTCCATGCAGAATTATCCACTTAGCCTGTCATATTTGGTCAAATCTGTAATTAACTCACTCCCTATGTGATGGCTGGAACTGCTTCTCTTTGGTGAGGTGTGTGATATTAGCTGCGATTGATGATTTCACGGGCCTTACGTGGCCTTGCTGCAAGGTCAGCAGTTCGAAACCACCAGCCACCCCTTGGGAGAAAGATGAGGTTTTCTATTCTCGTGAAGAGCTACAGGCTTGGAAACTCCCAGGGGCAATTCTACCCTGTCCTATAAGGTCATTATGCATCAGGATTGACTCGATGGCAGTGAATTTAGGGTGTTTTGTTGTTGTTTTGTATAGAGCCTGTGGGCCAGATGTTCCTGCCCCTGACTTAGAGGGTGGGAATGCTTGTTACAAGTATGGCTCCAGGACCCCCACCCCAGACTTATGAACCAGATACTGGGGGTGAGCCAGGGGGCTTGCATTTCTTACCAGATTTCTGATGATGCTTACGTATGATATAGCGTAGTATGGCGCTTTGAGAAGCAGTGCCTTAGTGCTGTATACTCACACGAATCCCAGACATTTCTTATTCGTTCCTGAATGCCGAACAGCCTGAGCCCCTTAGCATTAGCAATTGGACATTGGGTTGGTGATTTCCTCTCTCCAGTGGGAATATCAATGTCTGCTTGCATCGAGCTACAAATGTGTCCCATGGTTGTTCTCAAGGTCCCCCTTGAGGAGGGGGGCCCATGCAGAGTGAGAAAGAGAAGGAAGTTGTACCTTCCCGCAGCTCCATGGGCAGCCTCCTGGATGGAAGGCTGCCCCTCACAGCCCTTATTGGCAGAACCGCCCTTCGCCCTCCAGGAGGACCCCCTGCCGCTGGCTTTTTACATCCAAGATGCGGAGATTGTCTCCTCCCTGGGGAAGACGCTGGAATCCCAGGCTCTGGAGACCGAGAAAGTCCTGGACATCATCTATCAGCCCCAGGCTGTCTTCAGGGTTCGCGCTGTGACCCGCTGCACCAGCTCCTTGGAGGGTCACAGCGAGGCGGTCATTTCTGTGGCTTTCAGCCCCACGGGGAAGTAAGGACAGCCTTGGCGTTGGGGGGAAGCAAGGAGGTGGTGGGGGGGGCGGATACAGCTCTGGCGCAGGTGGGGAGGGAGGCTCATCAGTGCCGGAGCTGGACCACAAGAGCAGGGCCATGGGCTTCAGCCTTGAGTGGGTGGCTTCCCTGTGACCAGGGAAGTGTCTTCCTCAAAGGCCAAGGACTTCTGATCTGGGCTCTGACCTCGACTTGATGTCAGGAGATCTGGGCTACACACTTGGCTCGGCCCATTCACAGCTGTGCGATCGAGTCATGTAATCTTCCCGAGTTCCTTCAGCATGTGGGAAACCCTGAGGATACGGAGACGCTTTCGAAGCTTCCTCTAACCCTGCCCTCTCCCTTAGGAAAGAAGAGGCGAGGAACAGCCTCCTGGGGCCAGGGGGAGGTCAAAGTCCAGTCCCGGCTTCTATTTTCAGTAGACAAGCAAATGGGCAGGAGATTGCACAGGGGTCAAGTTGGGGGGATGGGCCACCCGGCCCACCCTGCCCACCACTGCAGCTACCAAGCAGCCCCTCTCCCCCAGGTACTTGGCCAGCGGCTCCGGAGACACCACCGTGCGCTTCTGGGACCTCAGCACCGAGACGCCACACTTCATGTGCAGGGGTCAGTACGCAGCTGGCCAGGGAGGGGGGTTTTGCACAGTGATGGGTGCTAATGCGCCCAGCGATGTCGTTATTGAGGTGGCCCACAGCACAGTCCAGCCCCATACTCTCTGGTCCATGCCAGCTTCTCCTGTGGGTCCCATCCTGACTGGGCTGCACCCTGGAGCTTAGCCACATTTACACACTGCCCAGGAGGGGTCAGTCGTGGAAGGGGTGGGTGGGGAGAAGCTGGCTCTTAAAGAGCCAGGGAATCTCAGGCTCCATCCTGGTCTCCCAATGTTTTGATGCAGTCGGAATCACTGGTGGGCGGGGCTTGTTATGTTGGACCAGGCTGGGTGCTCCCCCAGAGAGGAGCTACCACCCCATGGCAGTGAGCTTGCGTTCTGCTTGAGGTCTGGGTGGGGCCTGGGAGTTTGAGTTTCTCACAAATTCCCAGTGATGCTCCTGCTCCTGGGACCACCGTTGGCATAGCTGCTGTGGAGCATGGACTAACTGGGTGGCCGTGTGCAGGACACACATCCCTTGCCCTGGGCGGAGCCTGGGACGATCGAACATCCCTGTTTGGCTCGACTCCTTTGAGCTGTTGTGAGAAGGGCCCGGGAGGATGTGCGTGGAAAGATTGGCCCAGGCTCACGCGAGCTTCTGGGAAGGTGGTGTTACCTGTGCTGCAGGGGCAAACCTCTGAGCACGTGGACTGGGTTCTCTCCGGGCCAAGTGTGACAGAACAACGCGTCTGTCTGTCCCGAGCCATCCTGTGAACGTCGCTGTGTGAGTCCACTGTTGGTCGTATCCTTCACATGGTTATTTACCCGGTCATCATGTGGCACCCTCAGGGTCAGGCCACTGCCCAGGCTGGGGCTAACTAATGACAGGTGTGGTCCCTCCTTCCTCTCCCCTACCCCGCCTCTCAGGACACAGACACTGGGTCCTTAGCATCTCCTGGTCCCCAGACGGCAAGAAGCTGGCCTCCGGCTGCAAGAATGGCCAGGTAGACGGTGTCCTGGGCAACTAGACAAGGGCTGGGGACCTCCTTTGCTGGGGGGGTCACTTCCAGTGGGCTCCAGGGGGTGGGGGTGGGTGAGGGAAGCATTGGAAGGCCCGTCCTGTGTTTTCTCTTCTGCAGATTCTCCTCTGGGACCCGAGCACAGGGAAGCAGGAGGGCAGGCCCCTCGCCGGCCACAGCAAGTGGATCACGGGCCTGTGCTGGGAGCCCCTCCACGTGTATGGGAGCCGTTAGGGCTGGGGCGGGGGCCGTGTGCGGGGTCCACTGCTGCCACCCCCTTGCCCGAGCCAGAGTGGCCGGCAGTGGGGACTGTCTGTATTGCTGCTGGCAGAGGAGAGCCCCAGGTCTTGGGTTAGGAGGCTCTGGTGGGCACAGCCTCTGAGCTGGGAAGGGACGAGCCACAGGAAAGGGGGCAGGCGTTGCCGGCTCAGAAGTGAGGCCCCATCTCCCTGCTCCCCACTAGGAACCCCGAGTGCCGCTACTTGGCCAGCAGCTCCAAGGATGGCAGCGTGCGGGTGTGGGACACAACCGGGGGCCGCTGTGAGCACATCCTCACCGGGCACACCCAGTCGGTGACCTGCCTGCGGTGGGGAGGGGACGGGCTTCTCTACTCTGCCTCTCAGGACCGAACCATCAAAGTCTGGCGAGCTCGCGATGTAAGAGCCAGGGGGGGGGTCCGGGAGCCAGGCTGGGGAATGGCTGTCCTGGGCTGCTCCCAGACTGCATGTCCATGGGCGTGCTCCAGGCTGGGGGGGGGGAAGGGGTCTGGGGGTCCTGCCGAGGGGAAAGCCAGTTCTTTACCGGCTTGTGTCTGGACGCAGCCCTCTGTGCTGGCGTGGCCAGACACTCATCTGTGGGCCCGTGGTTTACAGAGGAGGAGACTCGGGGCTAGTGTGTGGTCTGATTCAGATCGCAGTGACGAGCGGTGGAGCTAGACCAGCCCCATGTCCCAGGGGGTGGTGTGTGTGTGTGTGTGTGTGTGTGTGTGTGTGTGTGTGACAGACACTGCCTGGCTCACCTCTCTCTCGCTACTCCAGGGTGTGCTCTGCCGGACGCTGCAAGGCCACGGCCACTGGGTGAACACCATGGCCCTCAGCACTGACTATGCTCTGCGCACTGGGGCCTTTGAGCCTGCTGAGGCCACAGTTAACGCCCAAGACCTACGGGGGTCCTGTGAGTGAGCTGCGGGCGGGGTGGCTTGGGGAGGAGGGCCACTGGTGGTGGCTGTTCTCATGCGCCTTGTTCCTTATCTCCGTCTCCCCCCTCCGGTCCCTGGACACAGTGCAGGAGCTGAAAGAGCGGGCCCTGGGCCGCTACAACCTCGTGCGGGTGCGTATGTGCTGGCCTCGGGCCTCCCTGGCTGGGCCTGGGTCTCAGCTGGCCCCCGTAGCACTCACGACAGGCAGACACTCAGAACTGACACACACACCCCGCCCCTTCTGGCCTAAGGTTCAAAGGATACAAAAAAGTGGACAGTCTTTCCTTCTGTCCCACAGACAGCCCATTCCCCTGGAGGCAGCCGGCACTGCCAGTGTCTCGGGTCCTGCCAGAGAGTTTAGATAGACACCTGGATGCAGTGTGTGTACACAGGGCCGCCCTGGCAGCTCTCGGCTCCAGGGATCAATCGGCAAGCCAGCCTCCTGGTTCCTAGTGTCTCAGGCCGCTTGCTACTGCTGGGCCCTTCCCACCACTGTCTGGGAGACAGCTTCTCCCTACCATGTGTCTCTTTGGGCCCAGCAGGATAGCAAAACTGACCCCTTCTTTCCGTGGTCCCCCCTCCCCAGCAGGGTGCTGTGCCCTGTAGCAGCAAGCTGTCCAGTCCTTTGGGTGGGCTACAACCACCTTGTTTATATAGCCCCACCCAGTCACCAGAGGGGCTCCCCAAGGCTGCCTAGAGCTGCGCCGCACCTGCCGGGCCCTGGTGCTGGTCGGGAAGGGATGTGCCTTTGCTCCTGGGACCAGGCCCCCCTCGGAGGCCACATCTCAGCCAGCATGCTTTCTGCCTCCCCAGGGCCAGGGCCCCGAGAGGCTGGTGTCTGGCTCAGACGACTTCACCCTCTTCCTGTGGTCCCCAGCAGAGGACAAGAAGCCCCTCGCGCGGATGACGGGACACCAGGCCCTCATCAACCAGGTCCTCTTCTCGCCCGACTCCCGCCTCGTCGCCAGCGCCTCCTTCGACAAGTCCATCAAGCTGTGGGACGGCCGGACTGGCAAGTGAGTGGGGGCCGGGGGTCAGGGTGGGGGCCTTGGACCTTCTGAGCTCCCTTCCCTCGGGCCAGCCTAGCCCAGTCTGAGCCTGCCTTGTAACAGGTCCCCACCAGAGCGTGGGAGGCACTGCCGTGACGAGGACACATGCACTGGGGCGTGGTTAGGCTGCGGTGAGGCAAAGGTCTGGGCCGGATCCCCGACTAGACCTGAGGGGCGCTGGTTTTTGAGGGCCCACCAGGTGTGTGTCGGGTATCGTATCTTCATTCAGCAGCCCTTTGAGATGGGAACGCAGTTCCTTATTTGATCCAGACACGATGTCCTGCAGTTACGGACATGGAGGCCGGCCAGGGGCCCCCAGCCATATTGGAGTTGGTCTGGGGTCAGAGCCAGGCCTGAGATCTTGGACAGTGTCACATGCAGCCAAGGTTGAGAGCCACTGCGCTGGGCTGGGGGACCCCTGGATCGCATTTGGAGCTCACACTGCCGCCTTCCTCTTCCCTGGCTCAGGTACCTGGCTTCCCTGCGGGGCCATGTGGCTGCCGTGTACCAGATTGCGTGGTCGGCTGACAGCCGGCTCTTGGTCAGTGGCAGCAGTGACAGCACACTCAAGGTATGGGATGTGAAGGCCCAGAAGTTGGCCACAGACCTGCCTGGCCATGCCGATGAGGTACGTATGTCCTGGCTCCCCAGGGTGGGGGGGTGGAGGAGCAGGGATGGCACTGGTCAGAAGCCTGGCCTGCCTCCTGCCCTCTCCCCTGACCCTGTCCCCTCCTTGTCGTTGGTTTAGGTCTACGCTGTTGACTGGAGTCCAGATGGCCAGAGAGTAGCCAGTGGTGGGAAGGACAAGTGCCTCCGGATGTGAGTGGGGTGACAGTAGGAGTGGGGGTGGGACTGTGGGCAGGGAGGGGGGTGCTGGGCTCTCCTGCCCTGGAGTTGGTTGGTCTTGCCCCCTCTTCCTTCCGTCACAGCATCCTGGGGGACTGTGGTGCCCAGACTGGCCTGAGGCAGGGGTGGAGCAATTCTATCCGTAGGCAGCTAGGTGGCCTGGGTTGGGGGCGGACTACAGGTCTATGCAAGACCCCCGCCAGTACTTGGGCGATGGGCAGGGAGACCAGGACTTGCACAGACTGGCTGTCGTTCTTTGTCAACTCGAGTTTGGATGTTGGTTATACTTCTCTGTACAATATTGGGGAGCGTGGTTAGTGAACCTGCTTCTTGGGAGTTGTCAAAGCTCAGCAGACTGTTGGGGGATCCACAGTGGGAGGGGGCATGCACTTTGGGACTGAAGTTGTGTGGACCTACCTGGAAGGGCTAGCCACTGTCCCTGGATGGCCGTGGTGGGCTTCCGGGGTCCTAGCTAAGGCGGGCAATAACTGTGCAGCCTGAGTTTGGGTGGTCAGGATCTTGCTGGATGTGAGGGGACCCATGGACCCCTCTGCAGAGGGCTCCTGGGATTATTTGGCAGCTCCCCTTTCTCTTTGGGAGGGGCGTGTCCCCATCCTGAATCTCTGCCCTTCTCCAGATGGAGGCGATGAAGCCCAACAGTTCCTCTGACCTGCACCTGCCTACCCTGGCTGTTCATACGCCTTTGTCCCCGAGAGAACGAGGTGCCCTGCTGTTCCGGACAAGCCCCAGTGGGGACGGACACCCACAGCGCCCAGCCTGGACTGCCCAGAGCCCTGGGAGTTTGTCACTGAGCTCAGCTCCCACCATCACCTGCAGTACCGCTGGTGGTGGGCAGGAGGCGCTGGCAGCATGGCTGGCTGGACCTCCTTTCTCACGAGTGCTTTAGCGGTGGAGCCCAGATTCTGGACGAAATAAATAATTTATATTTTGTATATTCTGGTTATAACTGTCCTGAATCCCAGGGCTTAACTGAGGGTTGTGCTGAATCTGTTTAGCCCCCTCTGCACTGGGCTACACTGCCACCACACTGACCATGACCTGGAGGGTGTACTGCCACACAGTCCACCAGATGAACCAAGAGGAGCTGGCTGGAGTGCATTGGCTACGGGGGTCATCTACAGCCGTGAGATCCTGTGTAGTCACCCGCGCCTCTTCTCACTAGCTGGAGTTAGCATTAGAAAGCTCCCGTCACTTGCCACAGACCTCTGGACTGAAGGGCGCAGCTACACATGGTCTCGGTCTCACCGAGTTCTGTTGGGTGGTGCGGCACCTGCTCCCTCCATCCAGCCCCTGCAGGGCACTGCGCCCTGTGCTGGGCCCTCAGGATGGAAAGGTCTGGACAACTGATAGTGGGGGCCGCGCTGCCTGTGGGACTAGGTGGTGTGTGTATGTGTGCTGTGCAAAGGTGGTTCTGCCTCCCTGGGACCCTCACCAGGACAGCCTCAGACCCTTGGCTAAGTTCTCACCCTCTGTGCTCCCTGTCCCCACGAGCTCCTCCCGTCATCAGGTTGGACTTCCAAACCACCCTTGCCTGAACGGTCCGGCACCCCGGCAGTTCTGAAATCTGATTGTCACCCAGCCCATCAGGGCTCGGGTTTATGGATCACCTCACTGCTGTAGTTCTTGGGTTTCTACCTTAAACAATTCCCGGGAGGAGCCTGGACGAGGGGACCAAGAGTGGTGAGGCTGCTTAGGGCAGGCCCGTCTCATCTCCCATGGCTTAAATGATTTCCCCCAAATCCCTAAAGCACAGATGTGCCGTCTGACACTCAACGGAGTGGCCTTGAGTTGAGATTGAATCAAGGGTGACTGGTTGTGGCCACGCCCAGTGAGACTAAGCTAGGAGCAGCCCCTGACCTTGTCTACTTGACCATGTTCTCGTTTGCTGCACTGTAGTCTGCACGCCGCCCAGCATTGCCGATTGCCCCAGTGGGCGGGTGTTTCAGTCTTTGTGTGTCAGTGTACGTCTCAGAGGGGAAAGAGTGATATTGGCAGGGCTGGCTAGCTGGTTTTGACAGCATCTGCCTGCTGGCCGCTCTGGTTTCCCACCTTCCCACCTACCTGGACACGGTTCTGGCAGCAGGAGGAAGAGGGGTGGCAGTGTCGGGCCCAAGTAAGACTTCACAGAATGAAGCAAAATTCAGGGGGTACTGGGTGACCTGCAGTTCTTTAACGAGGAACCTGGAAGAGGGGAAACAGGGAGACTGACAGCTATGGGCAGTGATTGGACCTGGCTAGCCTGAGATGCCCCCAGGTGAGCAGAGCTTCCCACTGGCCTTGGCCCTGGCCCAGGGATGGAGGGGCAGCACCCCTGCTGCCTGGACCTGGGCTGGCAGGCTAAGCAGTGGTTCCCTCGAGTGACACATGGCGCTGATGGTACGCATCGTGGTTCTGGTTCCTGAGGGTCCTGGGCCAGAACTGAAGATAACCAGAGGGCTTCCTGGGCCCTCTCTCTTAGTAGGGAAATAGGTATTCAAGATCCTCCAGCTTCCGCAGCTCATTGTGCCCGACGGTCACAGTTTTCCGCTGTGGCTCCCGGCGCTGCACGGTGATCTGGATGGGGTTGTTTTCTGGGAAGCTGTTCAAGTCCGAGGCCACAGTTGCAAACTGAAACAGAACCAGAACATCCTGAGACTCTCTTCCCAGACCTGCACCTGGCTCACTTTGGCTTGTCTGCTAAATGGGATCTTGGATAGCCGCTTCCAACTCATTCATCGACACAGAAAACAGGTCCCGGAAAGGTGTCTGACTTGCTCACAACCGGGTGATCGGTGAAGGACTCACTGCCCTGGAGTCAGTGCCGACTCTTGGTGACTCTGGGTTTCTGAGGCTATAACTGCTTAGGGATGCAGAAAGCACAGTCTTTCTCCCGTTCATTAAAGGAGGAAGGATTCAAACGGATGCCTCTCCTGCCAGCTGTGAAGGGTCCACACTATCTGAACTCAGGCCTCTTGCCCCCTGTGCCCACCCCACACCTAGACTGGGCTGTTCCCTTCTTCCGCCTTTAGCCTCTTATCTCCCCCGTCTCCCTCGATGCTCTTGGCATCCTGGTCTACACAGGATTATTGGTACCGAGGTGTAGAATCCCAGAAAGGGCGGGCTCTGGAAGCTAGACATAATGATGCTATGTTCCTAGTGGGTCCTGGGTTGATCCTTAAACCTCCCTGTAGAAAGCCTAGAATTGAGTTGCCCCACCCCACCCCTCACTCAAGGAGGAAAGCTAGCTAGTGAGGGCTTAGGGGTGTCCCCCACCTCCCAAGCCCCAGCTCCCTGGTAATCGCCCTTCCGTCCTGTCCCCCTCTTCTCCCGGGGCTCACTTTGTAAGGCCTGCACCACTTCCCCACCCCAGCTGTGTTGGCTGCGCGGACAGTGAGGCAGTAGCTGGTGTTAGGCTTCAACTCCATTAGCTTGACGGTGGTGCCCAAGATCTTGTTGAAGATCCATGGGCGATTCTTGGTCTTGGGCAGCTCATTGTCCTTTATCTTGATCACCTCCTGCAGCAGGACCTGGTAGAAACTGACCTGCTGCTTGCCCAAGGCATAGGTCCAGGAGATCTAGGGGAAGAGAGCGCCAGGCTTTCTCAGGTCTGGCCTGGCCAACCCATTGCCCACCCCAGTTCAAGGTGCCTCCACTGTCACCCTGCCCCTGCTGGAGCTGAAGCAAGTCTGGCGGGAGGGGTCAGGCACTCCAACACTGGGTGGACCCACTTGCCCGAGAGGATGTGCTGTGTTCTCCCCAGGCAGCCCTTCGACCTTAGGGTAGTGAGCCCCCAGTCCAGCTCGCTAGGGTCTACAGTTGAGAGGTCATCTTGGGCACCTCACTCATTGCAGATGAAGTTAAAGGCTCAGAGAGGGTAAGTGATTTGCCCACAGCCACACAGCAATTAAGGAGCAGCGCCAAGATTCAAACCAGCTCCCAAACCTATAACCTGCATACGTACAAGAAGGTAACATGTACAAGTGTGCTTAATACAATCGAATGAGGGGTTATCAAGCTTTGTAAGAGCCTTCCCCCAATAAAATGATTAACAAAAACAAAAATAACCTTTACACCGCACCACGGCTAAACCAGACCAACTCTGTTGCTGTCAGGTCCGTTGACTGGACAGGAAAGGACAGAACTGCCTCGTAGGGCTGTTCCAGGGCTGTTACTACAGAAGCTGGCTGCTTCCATGCTAAATTGATCGGCAGCTCTGAACTGCTGGCCTTTGGGGTAGCAGCCACACACTCTAGCCAGTGCACCTCCAAGGCTCCTCTGCGCTAAGCTCAATGCATCGAGTCGGTTCTGACTCATAGTGACCCTTTGGGACAGGGTAGAAGGCCCCTGTGGGTCCCTAAGACAGCCTCGTCTTTCTCCTGAGGAGCACCTGGAGGTTTTAAACTGCTGATGTTGGGGTTAGCAGCCCAACCCATGCCCAAACCTGACTAAGCATCTCATGGAGCTTTTCCAACACCTGGGCCCACTGTCTCGTGTCTGGTCCCCTATTTCTCGTTTTTCTATCTAGGCCCGTGGTGCTCACACTATGGGCATTGCTCAAACACAAGTTGCTGCGGGCACCCACAGTTGCTGATCCAGCAGGCCCCAGGTGGGAGCCAGGAAATGTGTCTTTCCAACAAGCTGCCGTGCGATGCTGACACTGGTGGTCTGGTGCCTGGTTCCCCAACAGGTGGGGCCTGGCACCGAGGCAGCTCCATCTTCAGTAAGATTCTCGGATGGTTCTGAGGCATATGCTCTGAGAATCCCTGTCCCTCCCCAAAGCGGGGAGCAAACATCCCAGGGACTGACCATGCTCAGAGAGACACTGCCCAACAATGGGGCTCTCAGGGTTCTCCTACAGCTACAGCTCCAAGTACATCTCCACTTCCCACGGAGCCCGATTGCAAACTGAACGATCGAGAGCAGCCCAACATTGGAGGGGCTCCATGCAAAGCCCCCAGAGGAGCTCTGCTCTCTGATCCCAGACAGTGCTGCTCAAAGGGGAACGTGGACCCACAGCTCCAGCATCTCTGGACCACAGGTGAAATGTGCTCACTCTCAAACACCTCATCTCTGGGAATCAGAACCTCGGGGGAGGCGCCCTCCCAGGAAGGTGGGTTTTAGCAAGATGCTCAGGTGATCTGTGGCCAGGTGACGGTGTGAGCAGCACTGGAGTAGGTCCCACGAGGGAGCCCTTGCTGGCATTAGCGCCTCCACAGGAAACCTCCCCTCTCCATCTCACCACGTTCTACTCCAACCGCCCTCCCAGCTCAAATGGCACCACCAAGCTGAGTCCTGCAGCTGGGACACACGTTCCTTTGCCTCTGAGCTCCCGCTGACCCTGGACCTGAACTTTCCCTGGAGCCCCAAGCCCTTTCTATCTGCCTCGGAGCCCTTTGGATCCGCCCTCGCCCGCTCACTAGACCGTGGAGGTTCAGACGCAGTCAGGGGGGCATCTTCGCCCTTCCCATAGAGCGCCAGGCGGTGGCCCTGGCGCTGAGTGCACGAGCAAGGGACACCCACCACAGCTGTGGAGTCACTGACGGTGTGCTCACAGATGAAGGGGGCCTCCGGAACCTCCACCACCACGGTGGATTCCGAGGGGGTGGAGGAGGTGTCCGTGTCCACCTCCGGGTTGTCCAGGTCCAGCAGGGCCCCCGGGGCCACTTGGGTCTGAGATTGGTGTGGGCAGAGAGCCAGCTCCCGTTTGTCTTCTTTCTTGGTCAGCGAGGACAGGCTAAGTCGGTTCAGCTCGCCCTCCAGCATGCCTGCAAAGAAGCTGCTGGTGGGCTGGGTGACGGCCAGCTTGATGGGGTTCAGCAAGGACGACGAGATGGGGGAGATGCTGGTGTCGTCCGAGCTGCATTCCGAGTCCTCCACTGGCACTGGCTTCCTGGAACAGGAGAGGGACACAAGGGAGCCAGGTTAGCCCGATGAACGAGGTCGCCGCCCCCCTCCCCACCACCACCACCAAGGCGTCCCAGCACCCCCAGCGGCTTCTGGTTAGCTCAGACCAGCTTTGTTGCTCTGCAGCAGTCCCTCAACCCCACCAAGGTGCTTCCTCGAAATTAGATTCCTGGTCCCCAGGCCCCCAGAGATTCGGGGTCAATAGGTTTGGGATGGAAGGGACTGAGGAAGCTGCACATGTAATCGCATACTAAGATACCTCGAATGCAAATACACCGAAAACCAGGATTTGAGAACCTCCCTCGGCGAAACGCTTTAAGTCCCTCCTCTAACGCGAGGTGCAAACGCCTCAGGAGATGCCCACAGGGACCCACTGGGGTGTGGAGAGACCTCTAGGATGCGAGCAGTTAAGCTCATTTGGAATTTATGAAACGCTTCAAACATCTACCAAGATATCACAGATAATATATTTCACTCCCATTCACTCCCCATTCAGCTTAAGAAATAAAACCAGATTGGTTAGTTAAAGCCCCACCCCACCCCGCGCCCATGTACGTCTCTCTCCCCACTGTTTCTCGTCCTCCTGCCCAGAGAGCACATTACAATCCATTCAAATGTTTTGCGCTTATTATTCCCCACATACGTCTATAGGTTTGTTACATCTGTATGTTATCCCTAGGCAAGACCTAGTATTATTTTGCATGTCGCCAAGCATTGTGGAAATGCTGTTATTCAGCGCAGAGCCTCTGCAACTCGCTTCTCTGTCACTCAACACCATGTAGCTTGGATCCCTCTTTATTGATAGAGGGAGCTCTGGTTCATTCGTTTTGACTGTTGTATGGTTTTCCCGTCACGTAGATATTTGCATTGCTTTCGATTCTCTACTATCACAGAAAAACCTCATACACATTCCCTCTCTAAACATTTTGCTTTGCCAATGCAAAGCCCCAAAAGTTGAGCGATTGAATCACTTTCTACCTTTTTTTTTAACTTAAGATTTTCTTATTAAGAATCATAAGAGTATTAAAATTAAAATATTTCGTTTACTTAGATGTTTAGGTCGCTTTCTACCTTGACCCAAAATGAAAAGGACATTTTATGTGGCAACCTAATATACAAACTCGTATAACTGTACCTACATTGAGAATGTAGACTCGCATATATGATATATACTTATAGTTGGATCATATATAATTGGGTATATATAACATACACACATAGATAGCGAACACAAACATTTTGCAAATACCTATGTGTCATGTGTGTGGGAATTTTCTGTTCTATTTCCTTTTCATCGTGCTGGTCTCTACAACCTAAAGTCATTTCTTGACCCCTTGAAGGAGTCAACATCCACAGTTTGAAGAGCATGCAGGACCAGGGAGGGTCAAGAACCTTGTCCCGGAGCTGGTGGAAGAACTGGAACTAGGCCCAGATGTCCTGACCTTTAGGCTTCTCCCCAAGCCACGTGGAGCCCATCGGCCTCCAGCTCCTTCTGCCCCATCTCTCTGGCTGCCTTGCCAGGCCCCACTATGCTACACCTGGATCTCTGATTCCAGCCAGCCTCAGGCTTCATGGGGGGTCCTGTAGGCCCCACCAATCTCCTCCTAAGAAATCTCGCTCAGCCTACCCCCTATTTGTCCATGGTGGACATTTGGAATCAACGGTCCCCCTGCACAGATCTTTTGTTGACTGAAGGTTTGGGCACTGATGTCATTCCTACTTGATTGTCCTAGTGAATCTCCGATTGGAACCACTTACTGGAAATGCTGGTGCTGAAGGCAATGGGTGTGGAAGGCAGTGGGTCATGGGCAATCCACCGGAGGTGGCTCCTTCTGACCCTCCTAACAGCCTTACCGATGGCGCGAGCCTTCATTTCCAAATAAGGCAAGGCTCTCTGCCGCGCATTACCTTGTCCCACCCCAGTGAACTGAGTGGGCAGTAGAGATGACTTGGCCTTGAGCTCAGGCTTTCCCTTGGGTGCCATGATGTGACCTCTAAGCACCCAGCACCTTTACCAGATCTTTAGGGAACGGATACCCCTCCTCACTCTTTCACAGACGCAGGGCCAGCTACAGAATCTGCGAGACTCCATGCAAAATGAAAACGCATGGCCCCCCCTTTTCTTTTGGCCCTTTTTTTAAAAACTTGAGAATTTCAAGGAAGAGAAGGGTATTATACCAAGTGTGGAGCCCTTTAAGCCACCGTACAGGCCACACACTCAGCAAACAGGCCTCTTGGGCCCAATCACCCCACCCTCCACTTCACTTGAGAACGCCTTCCATTTTTTTGAAATTCAGCTGAAATACCATTTCCCCAAAAAGCCTCC